CAGTCCGTCTCTCAGTCTTTATACCTCGCAACCCTTGCAACCTCGTCTCAGTCAGTCCGTCTCTCAGTCTTTATACTTCGCAACCTTTGCAACCCTTGCAACAACGTCTCAGTCAGTCCGTCTCTCAGTCTTTATACCTCGCAACCCTTGCAACCACGTCTCAGTCAGTCCGTCTCTCAGTCTTTATACCTCGTAACCCTTGCAACCCTTGCAACAACGTCTCAGTCAGTCCGTCTCTCATTCTTTATACCTCGCAACCTTTGCAACCCTTGCAACCTCGTCTCAGTCAGTCCCTCTCTCAGTCTTTATAACTCGCAACCCTTGCAACCACGTCTCAGTCAGTCCGTCTCTCAGTGTTTGTACCTCGCAACCTTTGCAACCCTTGCAACCACGTCTCAGTCAGTCCATCTCTCAGTGTTGGTACCTCGCAACCTTTGCAACCACTTCTCAGTCAGTCTGTCTCTCTGTGTTTGTATCTCGCAACCTCTGCAACCCTTAAAACTACGTCTCAGTGAGTATTCTTCTTTACAGAAAGGGAGTCTGTTTGAAGCATTCCCTAAGAAGGTTTACCTCGTTTATCTGCTAACCTGCAAGTTTGCAGTCTGCGTTTGTCGCACACCGAGGTTCGTTTGACGACATGTTTTTCTTTCTTTTTCCCCCCAGCCACCCGACCCTTATTTTTCTCTGTCTCCCTATTCTTTATCGTGTGTATCTTTTGCAACCTTTGCAACGGAAATAAAGTTACCAGCCAATCAGTGAAAACGTTCCGAGAGCTTCATGCCGACTCATAAATTTGCAAACGCAGCCGCTGTTTTAATGTTGCGGGCTTAACATCACTGTTAACATACGATGACAATCAAAAAACCACGAAGGCTCATTGTCGACCAGCATTTTCCGCACAGCCACAAAGATTCTACGTCTATTGAAGAAAAGATGTTTTAGAAGGTCGTCACTCTCGCTTCTACTTTATTTTTTTCTGCAAAGGATGTTTGAACGATTAACTTAACAGTTTCTTGTTACCTATATTTGTATTCGAAACCGTGTGAGAAGTGTTTCTTTGTGAGACTGTGGGTTACGTGATAGCGACATAATTGATAATATTCACATTTCAGAGATGAATCGAATCTTGTATTTTGTTTCCTCAGTTGCGAGCTTGAGACGTGCGAAACAGAAAAATCGACCAAAATCTTAATTTAGTGGCAAGAGTTGAAAAATCAATTTCTTTCATTTTTGTTCATAGATAGCTTTTAGGTATATAAGAAACCTAACGTAGATTGTTCCCGCCGAAATCCTTTTATTCGTGAGAAAGAATGGAAGATCGGTTTTCGATGCCGGTGTCTCAGACTGCATTAATTTTTAACCTGAAATTCGCTAACATCAACTTTCCTCGGGTTCGCTAACGAAGCTAGATGGAGAAATTTGGACACTTTCCAAGAACGGAAAAATTCTTTTCCTTCCACTAGAAAATAGTTTCTGGACAATAGGGAAGCTGGTCGTACTGAAATAATTTTAAAAATGAGGGATAGGTTTCCAGGATAACAAAAATTTAAGTTCGTTACTCATTTTCGACGGCAATATTTTTATTTTAACATGTGGTATAACTCCAAATTCTCTTCTTGGTATTTAAATCCCACATTTAGACATTCATTTAAAACATACCTGGGAATTGGCTTGGGTAAGTAAAGGAAATCTCTGTAAGAAACCATCGAAGTTTAGGAATTTTCATGGTAGGCTAGCGGTAATTGTCTGTATTGTGTAAACACTTCCAATTTCGAAACGCACATAAATAGATATTTACAGCCTAAAGGCTCGTTTTTCGTACGTCTTGTAAGTTTTCCCTTTGCAAAATGGCTTTTTTCAATCAAAGAAACTTTACCTGCCGGCGACTCTTCGTGACAGTCTGTTCCGTGACTGCACGTGGCACAACGTACGTTTGAAGATACAGAGCTGTCAAAGTGACAGTCACGAAATCAAGGTAGTAACGCAATGTAATTCTTTATCGAAGGAGTAACATTTTCGATGCCGACAGTATTTTGAAGAAGCAAAAAATCAAACGCACAAGTATTTATTTTGGTCAGGCCTCACTATATTTACCGGACTTCAATGTTTTCGTTTGGAGGCTGCCTTCAGGAACCCTAGCCAATTCTCAGGTAGATAAATGTCTAAATGCGTGAACCACTTAAGCAGTTGCTCACTCAAATTGGCGCCAAAAAAAGGCGCGGCAATGACGCGTGCATGCCTTTCAGTTTAATTTATTTCTTTGCGCCAATTTCCATATTTTACATTCCGCATAATTATGTCATTCCGCAAGCCATGCCACATGCCATTCCGCAAACTCATTCCGCCTTTTACCCTCACCGGATGCCGGGGGAGTGTGAAGTGTAACCTTTAGGAAAGGACACGTTAAAACTGTGGATTTTATCCAAGAAATTTGCCTCTAACTTTTGGCTGAGAATGTTATTCGTTATACCAGAGTGTTGTTGCTTACTTGCAAGCTACAAGAAGCTGGGGATGGGAAAGGCTTTCCTTACATATATTTCAGAGCAAAATATTTGATTTTTCCTGCTCTTTTTTAAATCAAGTCTGTAGAATGGCGAATGATAAAAGACACTAAGGGATACACAATTCCACAGAGAGCACAAAACCATGCCCTATATCAAAACCAAATGGTTGAAATTCTATTCTCTGTTTTAAACAAAAAAGGGGACCAAAAACTGTACCCTTTACCCATAAAGCTGATGTAAGGGAATAGTCCCCCCAGCAACACTGTTTCATTGTTTCAAAAAAGCCATGTCAACAATGCTTTAATAAAATGCTTTACTGTAAAATCCCAGTTCACTTACTCTTTTTTTCAGTTGATGAGAGTCAACCTTAAGGAGTTTCTCAGCTCTTTGCGCGTCCAGACACTGAGCTTTAGCATGATCCAGTTCCTGCTGAATCGCCTTGTCGCTCTTTTAAGAGAGAAGGTTTGTTTACAGATTACCTGACTGGGTCATTTTCAAGGTTAAGCGTGGGTGGGACTGGGTCGGTTTTTGTCGAACTGCATTATGGGACTGATTTAAGTATACAACGTGGGTAAATACAAAATAAGCTCGACCTAAGGGAGATTTTTGAGCCCGCAATCAAGACCGAGCAACCCCCACAAACCCTTGTTTTTACTAAAAACCGCTGGACACAAAACTTCCCCTAGGTCGATGTTACGTTGTCACAGCCTACAAGGTGTTCCTCAGTGAACCTAGCTCAATGACCTTATTGTCCTCGAGTTGCTTGAAGCTCAGTTGTAGAGCATACGGACTACCCTATTTTGGGTAATTAAAGCTTCACGAAATTATTATTAACGCGACTTTAGTGAAAACGACTTTGACATAAAGGAAATTCACGAGGAAGAGAGGATAACATTTCAAAATGGAGTAAATTAACGCGATGCTAACAAAGAAACTAAACTTGTTGAGACAACAAAAACAAAGTTAGGCCCAGTTTAAACGTCGAACTTTGTATGTACCAAACTTAATACCTATTTGGGCCAGGACCCAAATGACAACAATTCGACGGTTAATTCAGGCATCGAACTTAATTAGTCGGACTCAATTCACTTTCACGATGCACAATGGTCTACAATGCTTATCAGTGAAATGAATTTAGTAATTTATGCATTAGTTTCGGCACATGAAATTTCGAAGGTTGAAGTTTGAAACGTAGTCGCTCTACAGTCGAAAATCCCATGTGGGCCACTCGATCTTAATTCACGGGTCCACCCAAATTAAATATGTCGGACTTAATTGCTTCAAATGTCGATCTCTTCATGTTCTTAATTGAAGGGATTAGAATCGGTACATGAAAAGGTCGACGTTTGAACTGGGCCTTAAACGTATAATCTGAAATGGAAACCTTGTTCGAGGTACTTTCCCTAACGCACGAAGGGAGTCTAACGAAGAAATCTGGCCACTTCGAGGGTTCTTCACAGTTTCACTGTTACTGGCGGATCTCCATCCTTATAAAATACTCCTCTTTTCTAGTGTGAATAATGTCCGAAGTGTATCCAAAATAATGGAAATCTCAAGGTCGCGTAAATCAACACTCCACATAGCCTCCCATGCAGGCGTTTTTAGAGGAGCTCGTATTTCGTCCCTCCCCACAAACGCCTGCTCTACCTAGAACAACATTTTTCCCATTGTTTTATTTGCGTGGTAAGTAACCAATCAACAGTTTCGAAATAAAGTGAAATAAAGTTTTGACAGGCTAAACACGACTCATAATCTCGTGGTAGTGTAAAAGCGTGACCCTAGAGTTACCTATTTCCTTCTTTTCGTTCCTTCGCTAAGTTAGCCTGCGAGCCGCATACGCATTTCCGGTCGTCGCTTCTCTCCCTCTGAAGGTTTTTCTCGGCGGGTGAAACTAGAGCCGAAAAAACCGGATGCTCTGGCAGGCTATCGCTAAGGTTATGCAGTACACGGATTATTCTAAAATCTGACTAAATCTTGCTTTTGCCGCTCTGAGTCTAACATTTATTAGAGGTCATAAAACTTTCCCAGTGTTTCATGCAGATCGACTAACAGTGTCTAATGTCGGGTTACCCTGCCGTCGAAGCGAACCTTCCAGAATTTGGAAAGTACAATGTGATTGGCTACGCTTGGGAAAGGAATGTTGTTCTCGATTGAGCAGGCGTTTGTGGGGACGGACGAAATACGAGCTCCCCTAAAAACGCCTGCGTAGGAGGCTACGCTCCATATTACCGGCGGGAAAATTAACGTTTTAGAAAATAAACACGACTTGAATTCGTGAAGCCTTAATTTTCTATAAAAAAAGGTAATAACCAGAAGGTCATAGGTTCGACACCTGTTTGGAGAATTCCAAAATCTGGTAATGGTATGACATTTGCAATGTGGTCGGACTTTCTCTGTTTCAGGCAGAACATCTGGGATATTTAGGTCTAGGTTGCTATGGCAACTAACCTGTCTTCCTTCGCTGAGATGATCTCTCATCTTCTCTAACTCGTGTTCTTAATCAGCGATGGTTTTAATCCTTTCCTTCAATTGGTTCTCTGTGGTTTGAAGTTTCTGAAAAGGGCAAAAAAAGAAATCAAAGAAGTAAAATAACATAACTGGTACTCTCATTCACAGGAACAGACAAGAGTCGACACTCTGTTCGAATACAGGCTTGGGTAACGATGCACAAATGATATATCTCAATGAACTGCCTATGCAAGCCCTTTACAAATAATCCTACGGCTAAACTTAATGCATGTAAAACCGGCAGAACGAGCAATTAGTTACAAGGAATTACCTGCGCTAACAAGCTTGGAATACAAGCATCCACTGAAATTATTACATGTATAACTACAACGAAGTAAGACTGTGATTACTGTTGGTATTAGCTTCTTCCAGTAGCTGCTTTCATGGAAACTTGGACGCTTTGCTTTCCGCAACAAAATTCAAAGTGTGACTTTCCCGATAAACCTAAAATATTGCGTGGCTCTGTGCAGAAAATTTACATGTTTTTTTCAAGTGGCTTGACATTCATTAAACTTCAATGGACTCTGGAAACCTGTCAGCCGCTCAGATCAGAACAAACCTAGACATTTCGACAATATAGAACGAATTATGACCCTATTAAAAACAACGGAATGAGAAAAAAAAAACAGAAATTCTGCGAAAGAAAAGCGCATTAACAGAAACAAGGATATTTAATTTGTGATAAAACTTAATTTTGGACAATCCAGATTTCTTTGGTATTAACTAAGAAACTACAGGGAAACATAACTATTCAGTTTATTGACATTCCTGAAAGGACATTTGTCTCGTTTTGTTTTCAAAACATGAAGATGTATCAACAACACAAAGGCTTAAAAGCCGAATCCATTACACTAAGTAAACAAGTAAACGAACTTCCTGCTGCACGCTCGCTGCACGCATTTGCAAGCGTAATACAGTTACAGCGGAAGTTTAATAGCACACAGTAATTTTCAAGGGGTTATCATAACTGCTCTAGTGGGGTTAATTTAACTCCTTACAGTGGAGTTATTTTTTTCGGAGTTATTTTAACACCAAAAAGGAGTTCAAGGAACTCTTTTTCGGGAGTAAAATTCACCCCAGATTTGGAGTTAATACTGAGGAGTTAAAGTAACCCGCCAAAGGGGGTTATCCTGTACCTAAAATTATTACTTCATTTTTGGAGTTATAATAACTTCCTACAAATTACTGTGCACGAAAATAAAATGGCGGCTTACAAGAATGAACTGGACCGAAAGGAATGTGGGTTTATCAATAGCCTTCGTGTAAAACGTGTTAACAATAACGATACTCAAAGGATACTTAATTGTCTTGGCTTTACCTATTACGTGTAACTTTGCACAAAATCATTGTTGAGTAGAGTTATGTAAGGCTTGCTATGAATTAATCCTTCATAGCGTCAAAACTTTGCGAAATGAAATTTAGCCAACCAAATTATCATGTAAATATCTGAATAATATAGGCTTAACATATCTCTAACACTCCGTTGCGTATGTATGTGCTAAAACATATGTACTAAAAAGTTCTAAGCGTTTAAGAATAATGATGACAATAACTTTATTTTATTGTCAATGTATTTAGCTCAACAGTTACATTAGCTAATTGGGGACACTTTCCTAAGAACTGGCACTAATCTATTACAGTGACTTTTAAATTAATGATCTTACCTGAATGCAGATGACTAAGAATGTACACAAAGTCACAGCAGTTACTATTATTATCTACATGGCTAGAAAGGTACACAACGCGTATATGTTTCTTGAATGTTTTGAGGCTTGTCAAGTTTCTGAGCTCACTACTGACTTTTGACCAAATGAAAGGTCCTTGGTAGCGTTTGAAAAGTGAATTTAATGTTACTGCGGGCGCAATTTCAATGAAGAGAAGCACATGATTTGGGGCCTGTTTACATGAAGGTGGGGGACCCCAGGTAGGTGTGGTAACATGTGGCGGGTACCCCACCCATCATGTAAACGTGATCGAATTAAAATGAAAGATTATATGGACACGCGGGTTATCTCACCTGCCTGGGGTCCCCCACCTCCATGTAAACAGGCTCTTAGAAAAATGGTTAAGATAGTTAAATTAACTAATTATTTAGTACATCCTTAACCATTATTCCACATAATGGAAAATGAAACACGATGGAAACTGTACCTATGTACTGGCTGTTTACTAATTATAAGACCGATTACAAGGTGTTAAACCTAGAACTCTAAAATAAAATAGGTAATGATTCAGATGGGAAGACCTTTATAACAGATCACTCAATTCTTACCCCTTTTGTTGCATAAAGCTCTTGTTCTAATTTTTGTGCCTCTTTCTCCCCTTCTTTAGCGGCCTTCTGCCTTCCCAGCTGAAAATAAGAGAAAGAAAGATTGCAAAGCAAGAACGTTGTCGTTGATGGTGACATACATGACCATATAAGGCAGCTTAAACACCGATGACGGCGACGTCAATCAGACCGGCAAAAAAGCAGTAGGTTTTAATAGATTGGCAAAACAACAACTCTGCGCGTGCATCACGCTTTTTTTGTACATTTTTTACCGTCACTGCACGACTACGACGAAACGCCCTGATTTCACGTTTTGTGGAAGACGTGAGCACCAGAAAACGACTTTCTTTGTCTTTCTCTGAACTTTGATACAGTCTTTTAGAATTCAAATCTAAAACAATTTGCCAACATTTGACAAATTGAACGAGATGGAATAAGCGCGATAAAGTTTAAAGCCGCGAGAATTCACTTTTTAAGTATTTTTTTCGTAGCCGTCACCGTCGTTGTTTCTCCAACGGTTCAATAGAGAGCTTACTTAAGCAAAGACATTTTTCAGCAATGTACGTTTTTGCCTCCTTAGCAATGGTCTCGCCCAAATTTTAGGGCAAATTGTCTCTATACGAGTTGAAACACTTAGCAATACAAATCTGGTGGCGTCAGGACATTAACAGGGAAACGGCCTGACTTCCGATTGACGTGCGTGGCTCGAAACGCCTCTACTGAAACCCCCTAATGTATAGTCGACTGATTGTACAAGTGACTCTTCTGTGTTACTCTGCATGCGAGCAAGCTTTTCAGTCGAGTTACATTGTTTGAAGCCACATGCAAGCGACACACGACAGGAGACACGAGAGAGTAGGTTGAAGAAAGAAACGAGGGCTTTACTTTCCTCTGCTTCACACGTGCTCGTTTCGCTCGCCACACAAAATGGAAAGCTTGCTCGCATGCTTTTTTTTATAAAGTTTCATATTAGACAGCTGTTGGCAGTTTAAAGGCGTCTATTCGAACTCAAATCACCACATATCAAAACCTACGTAGCAGGCGTCGAAAGGGGTAGGGGATATAGCGCCTGCCACGCAGGCTACACAGATCTTTGCATTAACTTTTAAGGTTTAACTTGAGAAAGGATTTTGCCTACACTAGGAGCGTTGTGTGACGACACTAAAACGAGAGAGGAGACTAGCATCCCGTGCATATCTCAGCCCCATTTTGCTTTAAAATTCCGAATCCCGGCCCTCAAATAAGGCAAATCCCGAATCCCGAGATTCAAATAAGGCAAATCTCGGTTCCCGAGATTCAAATAACGCAAATCCCGGATCCCGAAAACCCTATTGGGAAACCTCGATACAGCCGAACGTGTAACGTGGAAAAAGTAATCGTTTCCCGTCGTAGCCTGCGAACAAGCTCTCCATGGCCATTTGGTGGAGTCGCGAGTCCCTCGAGGCTGGCTTCGTTCGCTCCAGAAATGGAGAGCTTGCTAGTGGCTTTTCCACGTAGTTGAGGCCGTTTCTCGAAACTTCAAAACGAAGGGGGAGTGTTGAGGGTCAGCTGTCCTCGCAGGCTACGATTAAAAGTATTTTTAAGATTAAGGCAACATTAGTTTCGTGTATTATATCTAACCTTTGTCGACATGGTGGAAATTGTTGAATCCTTTTCACGTAGTTCCTTCTTAAGTTTTTCAGTCTCTCTCTTCGCCTGATGCACTAAGGCGTCCTTTGCAGAGTTTTCTCTCTGTAACCCGTTCAGCAGTGTCGTGGACTGCATTTTTTGCTTGTTTAGCTTTTCATTTTCGTTGGATAGTTGCGCAATTCTTCGCTCCTTCTCAGCGATGCGTAACGATGCAATCTTGTTTGTGGCTGCCTTTGGGTCCGTTTTAACCCAAGCGGAAGCCTTAAGCTGTAAATGATAACCAACAATATCCAACTTCCATAAGCTTCTACAGTAAAATTCTATTTAAAATAGAACGTTTTCCAAGTTGTCGAGGAAAACTTGC